CCTTGCATGTAACCTCATTTACTAAGCTCTGGAGCAACTGCACTTACAAAGTGCACAGTCTAGTTGCCTTTAGTAAATCAACCCCGTTTTTTATTTATTCTTTGTGTACATCATTGAAAATCACAAATAAATTCCAGGCTTCTTCACAAGAGACTATTGTAAGGTCCAAGGGAGTGATACCCATATAAAGTGCTGTAATATACCTTTTCACTGTGTTTAAAAAGCACTGTATGAGGTATGGTACACACAAGACCCGAAGAAGTCACACATGCCCCTAACACACCTTTTCTGCCTTGGTATATGAAGCTAGGGACTGTACATGTGTGTCCTCCTTGGGTTTTGTGTGTACCGTACCTCAATTTTCTTGGTTTGGGCTGCTGCTCCTGTATTGAAAGGCTTGTTTAGAATTTTTGAGCAGAACACCAACAATGTCTCTCTCTTTTCAGGAACATTAGAGATTTCCAATGTTGAATTTTCAAACTTCGGATCCTCTTTACATTCAGCAATAACATTTACAAATACCTCACACCACTCATCAATTGTATCTTCAAGCATTTATCAAAGTTGTGGCGGTGGGATCCGTGCCACTGACAGTACCAATATTTTATTACACTCTAATGTGATCGTTAACATAACTGGCCATGGAATCCATGTAAATGGAGATAACTATACGGTGACCAATAATTTGCTTGTGCTAATAAAGCAATTAAATGCCAATCAGAATGGGTTAAAGGTATCAAGATGCATTACCTTAGTAAAGCTTCTTTATTTGGGAATGCAGTTGCGGGATCAGAAAGGATTGCTTATCATGTGCGTGGTGAAAGCTGTTATTCAGATGAAATCTCTCTCTCTTGGCCAACGTGGCCCATTCAAGTCTTCATGGTCTTCATATCTACTGGGATGATGGCTTTAAGAACTGTACAAAGATAACTGGATTCACTTGTTATAAGAATTATGATTATGGTCTACTTTTCTTCCTTGAGGGCAGTGTAAGGGTTGAGAATGTGGCTCTTGTGGACAATGGCATTGGTCTTTTCCCAGTGGTCTCCCAAGGATCTGTGGAGTCATACAAGTACCCGAAGCAAGAGGTAACTCTTCAAAATTCAGTAATAATTGCCTCTAGTCCCGGGTTTGATTGCATCAGAGACAGGATCAAACCTTTCTCTGCTCTTGTCACAATGAGAGACCGAGCCCCGATATCACCGTTCAGAGGTCGCATTGGCATCCTTTGGCCAACATTTACTGAAAGGCCACGGCGATGGCCGAATTACCCATGGCACATGTTAGGAAGTTATGGAGCTGTCCCAGGCATCATGAAGCTGCAAGGTACATTTCTGCTTTACCTTTCCAGATTTTGAGAACCTAAAGAAAACCTATCAATTAAAATAAAAAATTAAAAGTTAACATTTTGTGTAAGAACAAGCAATTCTCTCTGGTTTTCATGATGTAGTTTGTTTAGTTATCTTCCCTTTCAAAAATGGGTGTATTAAGTTTAGCATTATGTGTCACAGATAGACTCCATTTAACTAATTACGTGACTCTCATTGCACCACAATTTATGCTGTTACCAAAAAATAACCAGAAAAGCCTCTACTCTTACCATCACAGTTTCCATTTTTTTTCCAATCTAATCTTCTTATTATATTGTAGCTGCAGCACCCTTGGCTGCTTGAATACCCAAACAGTAACTCCATCTGAAAGGATGCAATCAATGTTTGGTTAAAAATGTTCCACCTGGCTCTGTCCAATTTAAAGTTAACCTTTACTGATCTGGATCGTGTCAACTGCATACATCTCATGTTATTTACTGAGAGCGCCGTAGTAGATAGTAAGGGTATCCTCATCTGCATGTTATTCCCTAAGAGAGTCTTAGTGGCCAGTAAGGGTATCCACATTGTGCAGCAGTATGGTGGGTGGTTGGGTTTTAGCTCTCTAAGCATTACGTAGTCCCTATTTTGTCAAAATGCCCCTCATGGATTCTGTTGGTGTCTCAGAGGTATCAGCTTTTTTGATTGGACACTGCAACTTCTGGTGACCGCTGCTAGCCATCTTGGTGGGGAAACTTATAATTAAAGGTACCCGCGTCATTTGGGTACACCTGGAGCGAATGGTAGCTCAGGGACATAAACCCCATTAAAGACAGTATATAGCACAGGAAAGGTTCTTGCGAGTAGGGTCAGTACAGGGACAACACCTGCATTCAGGAAACATTCCAGTATCCGGATCAGGAATGTGAGGCTCTTCTTAGTAGCACTGTTGTGCTGTTCCAGTGCATAGCCATCCAACACCGCTCCAGCAGAAACCATCCTCCAGTAATACAAGTCCAAGCTTGGTGACATGTAAACAACAACTATTATTCTATTTCATCCTAGTGCTTTTCATTACTGTAATTAATCATAGAATGATTAATTATACAAGATATAATAATATACTAAAACATCAGTATATACAAGATACCAAAACATCAATACCTGTGTGTTTGTCTCTCCCTGATTGGGTACCTTGGTCCCAGGCCGCGCCTAAACCCATTTCTGTCATTCCCTCATGCAAATTGCTCTAATTAACAACTCTACTCATGAAGTATGAGCACTGTTGATGGAAGCACTGTGCAGAGGGCATGATGGACTAATTGAGATCTGGACCACTGAGCTCTGTAATCTGTCTGGATTCCCATCATTCTCCCAGCACAGGGAATTTTAACAAAGATTGCAACATAGTAGTACATTCATATATATATATAAAAGATACCTACATCTATTACTATGGACACAAATCCTGAACTGAACAAAAACCACATTCACTGTTTGAAATTTGTTTGTTGGAGAAAATGTTTGCATCCTGCTCCTTCTAAGTTTCTCTCATCACTGCGGTCAAAAATGACCATCGATTTGACCGAAATAGAAATGAGACCCTGATTACAAATTATACAATTCACACCCAGTGTCCACATGTATCATGAAGTCTGAGCATAAATCTTGCAAGTTAGCCAACTGATGTATGGAAAAAATGGTGTACAAGAAGCTCAATCCATGTAAAGAACACCAACTGTCATCAAACACAGAGTGAATACATGTCATCAAACACTTAAAGTAAACACTCACAAGATGGTAGGACCGCTTACATAAAGAGGTCAATACGAATTTCTATCCATACTGGGATTGTAGGGCACTTGTGCTCTCTCACCACCTCCAGTCAACAAATGTTGTAATAAATATTCTCCTATTCAAAAATAAAATAAAGAGAGAGCTCCGATGCTGTAATATTCAGTATTCAAATTATTTAAAATCACACAGCAGTGCATTAAAAAACAAGCCAGCTAAAATTCACTGCAAACACTGTTGGTAGATCCTAAATGACAGCATGTGACATCACTCCACTAACCCCCACCCAATCCATTTTGTTCTATAGGGTGACATTGCGTATTGACCTCTTTATGCAGTAGGGTCCTATCAACAGGTGAGTGTCCACCCTGAGTGTTTGGTGGCTGTTGGTGTTCTTTACATGGATTGATCTTTGTGTACACCAGTTTCTCCATACATTATTCTGCCAATTTTCAAGATTTATGGTCAGGCTTCTTGAGATCTTCATATATATATATATATATATATATATATGTATATATATATATATATATATATATATACTGTATATATATGGACACTGGGTGTGGAATGTATAATTTGTAAACAGGGTAGTCTTGTTTCCAGCTGACACAATCTTTATTTTTGTTTTTTAAAGGACTGCATACATTTGTTGTTTTGAATTGGTTCTGCGTACCAGAACTGATTGTTTCTTTATGTATTTGTGATTTTAGCCCACCAATGATTAGAAAATAGAACCAACATTCTTAAAAATGAAAATTTTAAAAACTAAATTTTACTAGTGTATGACCTGCCTAGAACTCAGCCAAGTTCTCTAGATTGGAAATCTCTTTCATGAAATGCCGTCTGTTTTGCTATTCTGTAACATCATACAGAGCAAAGGGGTTTCCCAGGTTCCAGCAACTTGCCGTAATGCAAGTCATAATCTCTAAGCAAACAGATTTGTTTATATCTGGGTTTGCAGCCAGTAGCACGACACCTACTATGAATTCTTTTTTCTGATTTATTTTTCTACTAATATAGCAATTTTTTTTCTCACCTCCACAGATGTTACATTCTCTGGGTTTAAGAGAAGCTGCTACAGCAATGATGCCGACACGTGTATAATATCTAATCCAGAAAGTCCAGCCATAATGACCCCAGTGACTGGAAAAAGGATAAAAGTGCTCCAAATTTCACAGGAAAACAAGTTCTATTTCCATCAGATGCTGAGGTATGACACAAGGAAACTTCATTTTATTAATAACGCAGCCAATGACGCATACAGACACACTTATTAGGACAGTGGAGGATATAGAAGAGTCTATGAATAGTGATTTTAGGGAGATATATCTACAGAAAGTACATCTACAGAAAGTTTTGGGTTTAATTGATACACATCGTTAACTAAGTTAAAGTAAATATAAACCCTATATGTAAAACCTTCCAAAAATAAAAATCCCTAACATTTGACCCTGTTTTACAATAGAAAAAAAGAATTTTCCCTTTCAGATAGGTAAAAAATTCAGTGGTGTCAATGGTTACTAATCCAAGAGGCAGAAATTGCTTATTGCTCAAGGAATCCCTAGCAACATCTGAAGGAACCCTAGGTTTCCATGGAACCCAGATTGAGAAACCCTATATTAGACCATAGAGTCCAGTGTTGTCTTGCTTAAAGCATAAGTTTTCCTGTTGCCCATCTTCTCCAGCGCTACCATATTTTATTGAGATCTGGTGCATGTGCAGACACTCTGTAAGGCTGGCCATACATTATACAATTATCTTCCAATTTTCTGCCCAATTTCCTTTAGATTTACCTTCAACTGTGTAGTGCAAGGGCCTGCCTAATTGGATACAACTGAAAGTGTTGTTTAGGTTTTCCTCCTATTATATGGTTTTTGGAAAATCTAAACCAAAAATCTCCAGATAATTGTATAATGTATGGCCAGCCTAAGTCTCTTCCAAGTCTACAGGACCTGGCAGAGATGGTCATGGCCAGGGGCGGACTGACAACTCATGGGGCCCCCGGGCAATAGAGGATCATGGGACCCCCGTGTCCTCGCCCACACCCAAAAAAGCCTATAAAAGGTACCAGGGGCATCTCATGGGGCCCACTACTGACACCAGGCCTTCGGGCAGTGCCCGAGTGCTCAAATGGTCAGCCCGCCCCTGGTCACAGCATGTGTTTGCATGCGCTAGACCTCCGGTGCAGACACTCCACAGGTCTCTTTCAATTTTCAACCAAAGACCCATGTGGAGTGTGCACATGAACAGCATCCTGCATATGGCTGCTAGGATGGCTGCATCAGAAATCCGAAGATGCGGTTTGCGAGATGCCACACAAGATCACAAATGGTTCAGAGTCTCTACCAGAGAACTGGCAGAGACCTGTGGCATGTCTTGGGCATGTGGGATCAGCTATAATAGGTTTTTTTTTTACAATTTTTTACTTTTCTGTAAGAGGGAGGGTGGAGGAGGCAGGAAAGAGGACTGTGAGAAAATGGATCAAATTTAGGTTTAAAGCAATATCAAAAGTCTTTTTTTGTTTTTTAATGTAGGTTTCCTTCAAATAATACCTGGTGATTCTGCCAGGAATGTCTTTGTCCTGGCACTTCCTGATATATGCTGGAATCTGTAGGGGGACTAGGAAAAACCTGTAGATGCAGATGAACTTATAATAAAGCAACACAACTTATTTTTTTAATGGAAAGTGGACTACTTTAATGGGGTTGTAAACCCTTACATATACCCAGTCAAGTGACTGGCCTCAAGTGATACACAGAGATGAAACAAAGCCTCCTACATAGGCTGTACCTGTTTATCTGTGCATCTCTACATCCATTCAAAGTGCTAAATATATAAAGTCTGTCTGAGCTGTCAGAAAACAGGGGGCGGATAGCTGAAATTACACTCTGTAGAGCTCACTGAGGAGAGCTCGGAGAGCTGAATGGATAGAAGGTACACACCCCCTTCACACAGCACACAGCTGAGGCCATCAATTTTCTGAAGATCCCTCCTCTGTTACCATTTTTCTCTTGGTGTCAGGAAAACTTGTCAGAAATGACTCATGTAGGTAGCAGAGGAACAAGGCAGCAGACAGAAATGAACCTAGTGATCTGGGTTGAGAAAAGAGCACACTATAGTGGGATATGCTTTGTTCATACAGTATATCATGTCTGAGGATTACATCCTCTTTAAAAGATAGCTATATCAGAATATCTATAAGTTTCTTGTCTTCATCAAAATATTTCTTGAAATCTAATTTTGGATTATTGTGGTATCCTAGGAAATAAATCATTTGGTAATATAGGAAAGTTTGTTAAAGCGGTATTAAACTGCAGCCTTTCAAAAAGTTAAACAATAAAAAATCTCCCAGGTAATGACATAATGTGCTAGTTTGCATCGCATGCTAGCACATTATGAAATACTTACCTTAGAACAAAGCCCTCCAGCAGTGCACTGTCACCGCTGACAGGGCTTCCATCTTCACCCTGGTCTTCTTTTCAGGTTTGCTGGCTCTCCTTTGAATGGCTGAGCCAGGGTCATGGATAACGGGGGTACCACCAGTCCTCCTGTACGGGGCCCAGGCAGCTGGGTGAATCGGATGTGGGCACGGAGGGTGATCGGTACGGCGCGGGGGGGGGGGGTTAATTACTGTAACCAATCCCCTGTTTTGCTCTCTCTGCAGCAGCTGAAAGCTGGCTTCTTCTCCTCTCCCTCCTCCCCTTTCAGCTTCTACAAAGTGCTATACAGGGGATCGTTTACAGAAATTGCCCTCCTTGCTGCACCCATCACCCTCCCTGTGCACCATACGGTCGCCCCTGTGTGCCCTCACCCCTGTAGTGCTGCCGGCTTCCTTCCTCTCCTTTCCACCGGCAGCTGCAAGCACACAATAGGATCCTTCAGGATAGAGAATAGGAGAAGGGTCAGGTAAATGCCACATTAATCAGCCCCTTTCTTTCCTGAATGAACACAATGAGTGATCGCTACCAATCACTCACTGTGTTCATTTATATCTGAAGCATAGTAAACTGTGTGTGGTACTTTTTTTTGTTTTTTTTTTTGTTGCGGGAGGGGGGCCCTGTCTGGTTGGCTGTATGAAGCCCCGTGGTTTCTAACAGCAGCCCTGGGCTGAGCCGCAATTATGTTACCCCCATGCATGTGCACAGGAGTCATGGTTTACAGCACAGAGCTCTGAAGGGACAGCACAGGTATGGCGCCCCTTCAGAGCAAATACACCAGTGAAGTCACTGGTGGTATCCAATGTGAATATCTCCTAAATATTGCAAGTTTGGGAGGTATTGTACCTACAGGTAAGCCTTATTATAATAATAATACCTGTGGGTACAAGTTCAACATTTACTACCGCTTTATGTGTTGGTTTGACTATTGGGTTCCATTATCAATTGCTTTAATTTGTTCATTAGAGGGGTTTTTGTTAAAAACATAGCTACTGTATATGCAGAATAAATACTGTTATTTAAATGTATTTCACTTTTACCTTAAGTATAACACAGATTAAAATGTACTAAGTCTGGGCAAAATCACATCTCTGAATGCACATTGCTACAATACATGGACATCGCACTGTTTTTTTCTCTGCAAGTACCATCTTGACAGAAATCTTGTAAACTTCTATCTTCTTATTTGATGTGACAGCTCTGCCTTTACTGTACTGAAATCCCAAGCAGTGTTGTCAGTCCTGCCTGAGTTCTCTTCTTCTGTACTACAGAACATCTCCATAACATGGGGGGAAGAGTCACCAAGAGGAGAACTCAGGCAGGGCTGACAGTAGCACAGCAGAGGTTGTTGGTTCAATACATAAAGGTAGAAGCTCATGACTAGTGTAGAATAGAAATGCCACTGCCTCTCTCTCTCTCTCTCTCTCTCTCTCTCTCTCTCTCTCTCTCTCTCTCTATATATATACCCCCCCTTAAACATACCAATAAAGAAAACCAAAACACTGTTGGAGTAAAAATGGCCAACACGGCCTTTTATTAACAATTTAACTTCAATACACAAAACTTTCCTTAAAACAGAAACATGCAGGAGAAGTTGTTGGTCTTCGAAGGCACCAAACAAAACCGATATCCCCCTGCGGAACCTATATTATAATACTAGGCCTCCAGTCGCAATGCACCGGCTCAGAGACAAAACGTACCATCTGCAGTGCAGAACCTCCACCTTCCGGTTAAACCTTGGTAAACCGGAATGCACCTGGGCACACCATACCACAGATGGGCCCCAACCATTCGCTTTAGCTTCAAAGTATGTGCTGCCTCCAAAGACCAACAACCGCCCCCGGAGCAGAACAAACCGGGAACCCGAAAACACCCAAACAAACCCCAATAAGCTTGCTCCATCACTGCCACTCCTGCACTGAATTTACCGACCCCCCAAACACACCCCAATAAGTCGAAGACCCCCACCCCGCACACACGTCATCAATCAGGTAACCTGCACATATTACTAATTCCTTCCTTTGCTTAACCCTTTCCTGTCTTTCCTACCCCCTCTTCACCTAGTCATTTCTGCCCTGTGCTATTTTCTCTTTCTTTCTTTTCGCTATGGGCATCGCTGATTCATGAGCAATCAATATGTTTCTTTCTGTACAAGCAACAAGGGTAAATGTGTATGTGTTGGTGAGAACAAACTATGTTTTTTTTTTTTGCCTAAGTTACACTTTTAATAATTGAATACAAGACAGTGAAAAGTGTACCGTAGCCTTCAGCAACCACCAATCATATGACAGCTTGGAAGTACTAACTTTGAAAGATATCTTACTTCTTGGGGTAACAGAGCTACTACCTACTAGCTAAACTAACATTTTATTTTTGTCTCTTTGGGGTTCATAAACTTAAAAACAATGTCTAGTTTGGGTAGAAATCAACTCCATATACACCCAGTTTTCTTAAACTAACATTTTGCCTTGATAGAACTCCAGAATGCCCAGCATCTATGGAATGCTCTGGGACTCAGATGGCTTTATTCAAGGATCTGGATGGAACTTTCACAGGCCTGTCTCCTCCGGTTTCTGTCTTCCCCATGTCTGAGCTCGATATCCTGCAACCTTGTTTCAACTTTGGTAAGCCAAAACTAAAAACACAATATTTGGCTTTGCAGGGGCACTCCAGCCAAACAGCTTAAATGCATACATGTGAATTCTTTCATTTTTCACAAATTATGCGTAACTCTGTTTAGCCGGTTATGTGATTCACACATCTCAGCTATGCTATAAAGGCAATGATGATACCATTACCATTCAGCTTGGACCAATGTAACCATGATTAACTACTTGCCTACTGGGCAATCTTACCCTCTTCCTGCCCAGGCCATTTTTCATCTTTCAGCACTGTCGCACTTTGAATAACAATTGCGCAGTCATGCAATATTGTACCCATATTACATTTTTAGCATTTTTGTCACACAAATAGAGATTTCTTTTGGTGACATTTAATCCCCACTGGGTATTTAATTTTTGCACTATAAATAAAAAAAGAGCAAAAATTTGGGAAAAAAAGTTTTCTTTGTTTCTATTATAAAATTTTGCAAACAGGTCATTTTCTCATTTATTGATGTGTGTTGATGAGGTGGCACTGATAGGCAGTACTGATAGGCTGCATTGATGAGGGCGGCACTGGTGGGCATTGATGAGGAGGCACTGATGATGCTGCACTGATATGCGGCACTGATAGGCGGCAATGATTGTCACTGATGGGTGGCACTGAAAGGCACTAATAGGTAGCACTGAAGGGCATTGACTGGCGGCACTGCCTGGTGACACTGATGGGCACAGATTGGCAGCACTGCTGGGAACTGATGGTCAGCACTGTTGGGCACTGATTGGCAGCACTGTTGGGCACTGATGTCTCCTTTTACAGTTGCCGGTTACCGGCAGTACTTTCCTCATGCTGTGACAGAGTGAGGAAAGTACTGCCGAAAACTGGCAAATGTATTTACATAGTGGTCTGCTGTGATTGGACACAGCTGAACACATGACAAAAGGCCGCTGTGTTTGGCCCTTTACCAAGTCATATGATCAGCTGTGTCCAAAGGACACAGCGATCACAGACAGCACCGGGTTCGTGCCGCACATTCTGGGAGAACGTCATATGATGCCCTCCCAGTACTGGACTACCACGCTCATTCGGCTATAGCACGGTAATAAAGTGGTTAAACCATACCTGGACAATGCCCCTGAAAGCTGGAAATCACTGAAGAAGACACCACTACCACTAATACGATGATGACACCTGAGCCTCCTGCTGGGGATTAGCCAGCATCCCTTGAGAGTGCAGACTAGACACTCCTTTCCCACTCCCACTGCTTCTAGAACTTTCTTCATAATTCTAGTGCAGGGGAAGTCTCAGAGAGCTAGTATGCAGAGCCTGTCAGCCCTGATACAAATCTGGCCCTGCTAGCTTTCACACACAGGCTGCTACTCAACTCTTCTACCTAACATGCTTCTTGTTGTTAATGCCAAATTCTGACCCTGCCATCTGAATGTTGTAGCTGAAATAGAGCCTCGTCAGACATGGCAACATTTTTCATTCTTCTATAGTACAATTTTGGTGAGCCTGTACAAATTGTAGCCTCCGGTTCCTGTTCTTAGGTGACATGAGTGGCGTCCGGTGTTGTCTTCTGCTGCTGTAGATTATCTGCTTCAAGGTTCAATGTGTTGTGCATTCAGAGATCATATTCTGCACACCTTGGTTGTAATGAGTGGTTATACAGTATGAGTTGTTGCCTTTCTATCATCTTGAACCAGTCTGCCCATTCTCCTCTGACCTCTGACATCAACAAGGCATTTTTTGTCCACACAACTGCCTCTCACTGGATATTTTCTCTTTTTTGGACCATTCTATGTAAACCCTAGAGATGGTTGTGTGTAAAAATCCCAGCAGATCAGTTTTTGAAATACTCAGACCAGCCCATCTGGCACCAACAACCATGCCATGTTCAAAGTCACTTAAATCCCTTTTCTTCCCATTCTGATGCTTGGTTTGAGTTGCATCAAGTCGTCTTCACCATGTCTAGATGTCTAAAGTTGCTGCCACGTAATTGGCTGCTAAGCAATTTATGTTACCAAGCAATTGAACAGGTGTAACTAATAAAGAGGCCGGTGAGTGTATACTTATATCGGTCAAAGCTGGACCAATGTAACTATGTAAGAATTACCATTCCTAAACTCCAAAATTAAAGTAGTGGTAAATGTAATAGTGTGCTTCCTTTCTGCATATGAAAAATGTGCATTTTCATTCATTTAAATTGTCAAAATTAATACCCTATAGCAACTTTTATGTGTCATTGGTCCAAGCATGTTACCTTTACCCTGTAGGCACTCTTTGAAAGGTCTAATGTTTACCTGTTCAAATTTGTTGAAAAAGCTACCTGTTTCCATGGGCTGTACTTACTTTTTCAAAATACCGTCAATACAGAATTGAAATTGATTGTTTGGTGTTTTAGCTGCCCAATGAATTTATTGTCCAAGAACAAGAAAGTACAAAGAAGTCTTCCAAAACCTTTAAGGACAAGAGATAATTGGAACTTGTTTGAAAAGGTATTGGGGACACAAGGTGATGGGAAACATGGGATTGCTAAAGTTTATAAAATACTCACTGAACTAGATACAAACACAAAGCCAACATATATAGCAAAATGGGAAACTGATATGGGAGTTGTGATAGATGAGGAAAAGCAGAGGAGAATATATAGATTACCTCACGAAAACGTTTCTATGAGAGAAGTAGAAATGAACTATAAGTGTTTGGTAAGATGGCACATTACACCAAATGTAGAAAATAGGATGTGTGGAGAGAATTCACCGTTGTGTTGGAGGGGATGTGGAGAAATAAGTACAGTATACCATATATGGTGGGGGTGCCCAAAAATCCAGGTATTTTGGAAGACAATAACCCATTTGATAGAAAAGATAACTGAAATAGATATAGGGCTAGACCCAGAAGTATGTATTTTGCATAATATGGATATAACAGTAAATAAATATAAAAAATCAGGGATATGGTACTATCTAAATGCTGCAAAAGCTCTGATACCCAAGTTCTGGCGGAGAATGGAGGTCCTGAAGGAAGAGGACTGGATAGAAAGAGTGGAGCAGATTAAAAAGATGGAAAAACTCTGTCATATTCAAAAAGATAAGATGGAGGCCTATTATGGGAAATGGGAGAATTGGGAAAAAGCCAGATTATACATGAAGTATAGGAAAGAATAAAGAAAACAATAGAAATATTTTACTTGCTATTATAAGAAGATGCAGAGAAAATGTAGGGAAGGGAGATGGGGATAGGGTGGGGGGGGAGGAGGTGGGAGGGAAATCTGGAAAAGAGCAAATAAAGTAGAAATGTTGGATATTATATTGTATTTTTATATATATAATGTGATGATGAAATGTATTTAAAATGGAAAAATTTATAAATATTTAAATAAAAAAAAAAAGAACAAGAAAGTACTTTCCATGATACTTTTTTTATTTGCATTAACATCTAAATTTTCAAGACAAGCTTTTGGGGTGTGCCCCCTTCTTCAAGGTCCAAGCAGTACCAATACCCAATTAATAATATTAATAATAATACAATTATAATAATATTGTTCAGCCTTTCTTATGATATGTACAGTTTTGCTGGTTAGTTAGGTCATGTGGTTTAGTAATGCTGCTTTCAGGGTTACCTGTCTGCTCACTAGATAGAGATGATGATGTACAAGAGATTCATTGTCCAAAGAGGAGGCTAGAGTAGGAGGAGAGGTGACATGGGCAGCTATAATTGTGAATCAGTGAGTCATTTATCTGGCCGTACACTGTGGAAGATGTGTGTAGATCACAAGGATTGCCTGAACAGAATTGGGCAACTTGCATATGGGTGCAGGGTAGCTGCTGTAAGTCCCTTTCGGTGTTTAGGTGCACCCAGGAAGGACTGATGCAGGGTCCAGCCCTGCTGCATGCAGCCTGTCAAAATCCATGGCGGCTGGCTGCGGCTGAACACTGTACGGAGTGGTACTTGCATTTAGGGTCTTTCTGCATTCCGGACATTCATCCCTATATGTGTTGGGTCACTTGGCACAGTGTTCAGCCCTGTCCAGTCGTAGCCTGCCATAGGCTTTGACAAGCTGCAGGCACGCTAAAATATTGGGAAGGGACGCACAGCCGCTAAGCTCCCCCATTGTGCAAGGGGCCTTATAAACATAGAAAACATGGAGTTTGGCTTTTAACTTGCACTCCAATAAGTTCCAGCACTGCACAAGAAGTAACATACAGACAGAATCCATAAAATGAAGAATATCTGTAGCGTAGATCGCTGGTTTTTTTCGGCTTCATAGTAGAAAAATAACAGCCGTCGCTTCCCTCGTCCGCCGCTGCGAGAACTTCAAACGGCATTTTTGTAATTTTCTTTTATTCCGAGCATCCTCATCCTTCAGGACTGACAGGCCGCCGGAGTTACAAATACAACTGGAAGGCTGACAGAGGACGTGTCTGCTTCTATCTGAGCTGGAATATGGCATTTTCTTGTAGCTGCAGGCAAAATCTCATTTTCTTTCCTAACCAATTATAGGCCTCAAAGACTGAGACTAGGTATGTGTCTCTTTAATCTCTGCTCAAATTTATGTTCTCGCCTGCGACCGTTGAGATTGTGGATGCTGCGGCTTTCCCTACATAAAATACTGTCAAGGATCGCGGGCAGAAACGGCAGAGCCATAGAAAATGGCTTGGAGTGTGCTATCTCTCTTAGGCCAAGGTTACACATCCCATC